TGGCCCCAACTGAACTGTGGTTGTGAATGCTTCTGCTGGAGTGTGAGCAAAACGTGATAAACCGTCAACAAGTCAAAGACCTTGGTCCTCGATTTCAGTTTTCTGTTGGGACCACTCTCCATGGGGAAATACTTAAGCACCCAAGAACTGGAGTCACTGGCGTTTTTCACTTCATACTTCCGGAGAACTCTATTAAAGGCATAATCCAGGGATGAATTAAAATCTTTGTTTCTGATGTTAACAGCAAAGAGTTTTCCAAACTCTGATGTAACTTGCTTTAAGATAAAGGAATATCATAGTTAAAATATGCCATTTCTTCACAAGCCCAGTTGGATCTAAGTTAAAATTTGTAAAGAAAGTAAGAGAGTAGTTGACCACTTTTCTAAATAGAACATGTTGCAGGATTTTGATAAACTTGTTCTGCCCCAGAGGAGATAGAGATTTTACCAACCAAAATAGCATATTAAAAAAAAAAAAAAGTGGCAAGGAGAAGGGGAAGGAAAAATAAATGTGAATTATCTAGCTGATGTTTTTTTTTCATACAAAAAAATAAAATCAGTGGTAAATAAGCTGATGAAATAACCTATCAAAGTGTACCAAGAAAATAAAGGACTTGTTTTTTCAAAATAAACTAAAATAAAGTGCAAAGAACTACAGTAAAGTTTCATACCATGTATTTACAGCAACATTTGTTAGTGCAGCAAACTCCAGTAAACTGCAGTTTCCGATTTGGTTTTTCAGACTCTCGGAGGAAAAGAGAAGATACTTGTGGTTTTATCGCTACTACTGCAATGACGAAAACTGCTCCCTTCCTCTGGTCCTGGGTAGTGCTCCTGGATGGGATGAAGGGACTGTTTTAGAAATGCATGCCATTTTGAGAAGGTGGACGTTTTCCCACCCTTTGGAGGCACTTGGACTTTTGACTTCTAGGTAAGAATTGCGTAACAAGCACATTACTGATTGAGAAGAACTTGTTTGAAAAGAAAAAATATAGGCCCATATAATTAATTTAATAGCTATTCTGTTTGTTCCTGATTTTAATAGCTATAGATAATAATTTTAGATAAATATAAGCTATGAATATAAATTTTGAGCAAATCTAAGCTCTAATTATGTTTTCTGTACTAAACTTGAAGTATAAATAATAACCATAGTTTCTTAAATGAAGAATCTAGTTGCTGTTACAGAAGTAACAGAAAAAAATTAATAGGGAAAAATAAAAATCCCTATTTGTCCTCCCCCCACCCAAAAAAGTCCTTAAAAACGGGGACCATATATTTTACTATTGGAATATGCAAAGTTTGGCAAAATGCCCTACTTACAGTAGGTATACAATTAATATAACAATGATGATGATAAAAATAAAAGAAAACAATCTATTTCTTGTATGTGCTTCAGATCTTCCCTCAGAATAAAATGCAAGGGGCACGGGGAGAGGGTCTAGTGGTGTCTTCTTGCTAAGGAGACACGTGTGGGTGCAAGTGTGGTTGGCAGCCCTGGTTCAGAATGAGTCAATCTTAGTTGGCTTCCCTTTTCTATTCAAAGCCCAGAAGAGATACTTGAAGTCTGTCTTGATAGCATCAGCTGCCTGATGCCATAAGAAAAGTCATCTTGGGAGCTGGTACAAGCTGCCTCTAGCACCCCCAGTAGTTGCCACTCTCTCACCCTAATACTGTGCTTAGCCAATCAAGGTAAAGAGAGGAGAGAAAGCATGAGCCTGGAAATGGACAGTTTTCTTTTCCCAGTGGACTGAGCTATTATTCAGCAGTGATAACAGGGTACCCAAGACAAAGCCACAGCCCAGTAGACTTTAGGAAGACACAACCTTTCTAGCTTTGTGAGCCCGTTATCAGCCTTGGGAGTGACTCATGTAGGGCTTAATGGTGGAGGGGCTTGGTAATTCCTCCTAGAATTTTCCTTGATTTGTGTCATCATTCTAAGACAGAACCTGTGCTGGTTAATCTACACTCCTCCTGGAAAAGGTAGAAAATAGAAAAAAGAAAAAAGAAAAGAAAGTCTGCAATCCCCAGAGCCAGACAAGAAATGTAAAACTCAGCTCTATTCTGAATCTGCTCCCAAGGTCCTGAGGGAAGGAAAAAGGTGGGAGAGGAAAGGACACAAAGGACTTTCAAACTGACTTATTTAGATTTATTTAAAAAGTAGTGTCCTTCATAAAACTTCTGGAATGAGGAAAGGGGCGAGGTTTTTTCCTCCTGTTATTTGTAAGAGTTGCTAGCTGCTTCTCAATCATCCAAGTTCAAAATATACACATTATCTTTTGCCCCCCTCATATTGAAGATTTTATTAGTTTTATGGCTTCTTCCATGCAGATTCCTACCTCTTTCTTTATATATATAGAGGAATATATCCATATATTTTTATTATTTGAAAAAGCATGGTGCTTTTTTCTTTTATAAGGCTTTTTCTGAGAGTCTTCCCTAACTTTGCCATGAGGAATTGATCACTTCTGTTTAGTACAGAACTCTGTTACTTTATGAACTGCACTTTATTGTGATGTGTTTGCATGCAACGTGTAAAACGTGTGTATTTTCACCCACATTAGACTGAGAGCTACTCAAGGCAAAATAGATCATCTTACTATTTCTATTTCCCAAGGGCTTAACTCGGTGTTAATCAATAACTTTCTAAAATACGTTGATTATTTGTGCATTGTTTTAACATTTAAGTTATAAGTTCTTTCATAGCATTATGTATTTTCTTTATTTCCTACACCAACTTCTACAATTGAATGAATTAAAGAAATGATATGGTCAGAGAATCAATTAATAATTAGTTTGCTTCATTGGGATCATTCACAGTTCATCACTCTAGTGTTTAAAGATCGTTTTGAAAAAAACAAGTTCTCATTTCTACCTTACTCCTAACCTGTTTTTATGGTTTAGGTATGTAAGAAAAGCCCAAGTCTACAAAATTATTTTGCTAATTTTAGTTGTTTTTTGCTGAAGTAAGACTTAGAATATTAGAGCAATCATTATTTTGTCATTCCTGAATTATTAGCTAATAGCAAGTCAGTTCAAAATGTTATAGTAACAACGGACAGAATAAGAGAAAATACTGGCAAATAGTATATCTAGTAAGGTAATTGTATCCCGAATGTATAAAGACTCTTAAAACTCAACAAGAAGATAAATAACCGAGTTTTAAAATTGGCAAAGAATCTGAATAGGCATTTCCTCAAATAATATACAAACGTCTAATAAGACATGAAAAGATGTTCAACATCATTAACCATTAAGGAAATACAAGTGAAAACCACATGTGATACCGCCTCACACTCACTAGGATTGGCTATAATCAAAAAAGGCAAGAAATAAGAAATGTTGGTAAGAAATTGAAAAGCTTATGTATTGCTGGTGCAGCCACTTTAGAAAACAGTATGGCAGTTCCTTAAATGTTAATCATAGTGTTTCTATATGACCCAATGATGCCCCTTTTAAGTATATACCCAAGATAAGTGAGAAACACATCCACTCAAAAACTCATGCACAGATGTTTGTAGCAGCATTATTTATAATAGCCAAAAAGTAGAAACAACCCAAATATCCATCAGCTGATGAATGGATAAATAAAATGTGGTATATCTACACAATGTAATAATATTTGCTAATAAAAAGGAATGAATACTGTTTTATGCCACAACACCGATGAACCTTGAAAACATTATGCTAAGTGAAAGAGGATAGTTACAAAAGACCCCATACTGTATGATTCCATTTATATGAATTGTGTAGAACAGGCAAATCTAAAGAGACAGGAAGTAGAATGGGGATAAGGGCAGGTGGGGGGGATGGGGAGTGACAGCTAATGGATACAGAATTTCTTTTTGTGGTTATTGTTGCAAAAATATGGGAACATGCTAAAAACCATTGAATTGTGCACTTTACATGGGATGAATTGTATGTTTGAATTATGTCTCAATAAGGCTGTTTAAAAAATTTAGGAAAATAATTGTGAAGGTAAAAACTGTTAATATCTTTCATGCATAATTTTCTAATGAGACAACTTTCTAAAATTTCTACAGGAACAACTAGGTGTTTTTTTGGAATTTATTACTGTTTTATTAAGATGTACCTTAGTCTATATCTAAACACATATAAATATATCAGTTAATATTTTTGTGACATGCACAGAATATTTCTCACAAAAGTCTTCAATAGAATGAAGACTATAATACTGCTTCACTTATAAAATAAGGAGATTAGCTGGATGTACTTCAATATTCTCTAATCTCTGTTAACTAAGCATAATTCTGCTGATAGTGAGTCTTCTCTAAACAGATTCTGAAGATCTTTTTTACTCACTGAATGTTTTAAGGGTACAGAACAGACTTTTACTCAGTGTCTGTTAATACTATGTCATGCTAATGTTCACAACAACTTTATTAGGTAAATACTATTATTATTCCAATTTTACATGTGAGGAAACTGATGTTTATAGAGGTTGTCACCCCATGTGACTTAGTAAGTTAAGGAATTAGAGTCAAGCCCAGGCATTCATGAGTTCAGAGCTTACAGTCTTAACTAATATGCTTTGCAGACTTCTTGCATAAACACTCTAGGCTATTTACATATTAAATATATTGGCTAGCCTAAGACCTTTTTTTTAATTGGAAATAGCAGTACTTAACTATCTTATTGTGTTCAGATGTTTCTCCTTCACTGTGTGATTTCTTTTTTTCTGAATAATCAGATTTTTAGAGGTTATGGAGACTGGTTGCAAAGTGGAGGGCTGTTTATTAAGCTTCATTTAGTTGAATCTTGATTTATTTGCACACTGGAAAGTTTCTTATCATGCACCAAATAAGGTCACTGAAAAGGTTGGAGTATTTCCATTGTACTCATCCTGTGACTCCCACTCTCAGTTTAACTGAACTATTAAAAAACTTGAGGACAAGCTGTTTCCAGAAATGAACCTTTCAACTCCTCTAAATTCAAAAGCTGACTTTTCTGAGAATAAACAGTATGTGCTTGTTAAGTAAGTTGTCAGAACAAGTTCTTCAGAGATCTACATTTTTTTCTCCTTTAAATAGTCTGTTTTTTAAATGGTTTAACCTCTGGAGAAGTGGTGTGCTCCATTTCCAAATTAGAGAATTTTTAATATTGATGTTTACTTAATCCTGTCTGTGGATTCACCACCTACTTTTAGTTTATTTTTAGCAAGAGATATAATGAAATCTAGTTTATCTAGTGTGGGCCATAGGATGTCAATATTTCCACTACTGAGTGCCAGCAGAATGCTCACGGGGTACTGATACTTCCATTAGAGAAGGCAGTGCTGTCAGAGTAACAGAGACCAAGGGGTGAGGTCTGTGGTTCTTGGCAGATGGTTGATATTTTTTTTAAACCCTGATGCACAGGCGCAACTATTCAACTGGTAATAACAAGCAGAAATTACCCAAGGAATTAAAAGTCAGTTCAAGGAAAGTATTCATTTAAAAATAGCAACTCTGAATTGGCATCAGAGGATTACATCAGAAGCTTAAATAAAAGTTTGACAAGGTACCAGAACTTGCCATCCCACATGATGTAAAATTATTGTTTTGCAGGAAGAAAAGCAATATTTAACAGGCAGTGCCTTAGCTTTCAAAATCCTTGGGAAAATGTTTTACAAAAATGTTTGCACCAAACCACTATATTCTTTATTGTAGAAATCAATTTATACTAAAGCCATTCTCAACTAACATTGTAAATAGGAAAAAGGGATTATGGAATAGTAAGGCAGTCAAAACTTCCACATTTGATTGAATAATTAAGTAATGGATGACAGTGTATCTATTCCATTTATTTATTGAGCAAAAATGTGTGCACAGTGAAATTGGTATGCACTGAATCTAAGAGAGAGAAGAAGCCATAGTGACTGTCTCTAAAAAGCACACAATTTATGGGGAGAGATTCAGCTAGAAGTCACCA